CAAGTCAGATATTTCTTTGTTGAGTTTTTGTCTAGTTGATGTGTTTGTGACAGTGGGGTACTGAGGTTACAACTGTGTTAGTGCTTATTTGATTTTGTGTATCCATTAATAGTTGTTTTATATAGTTGAGTGCTCCATATTTGATGCATATACATTCATGATTATTATGTATTTTTCTTGGGAGTCTTCCTTTAGCAGCACTATAGTAACCTTTTTTTATCTCTTTTGTTCAATATTGTTTTGAAGTTTACATTATCTACAAATAGAATAGCTATACCTGCTTTTTTCTGAGTTCCTGTTGCATGGAGTATTGTTTTCCATCCTTTGACTTTTAGTCTGCGGATTTCTTTTTGAGTTAAATGTATTTCTTGTTTGCAGAATAATGTTGGATCTTGTTCCTTAATCCATTGTGTGAGTCTGTTTCTTCTGATTAGTGAATTGAGACCATTTACATTGATGATTATAACTGATATCTATTAGTCAGTCCTTGTCATATCATTTTCTGCTGTTCATTCCTTGTCTTTCCTTCTGTTTAGCTGTTTGCCTTGCCTGGTGGCTTCTTTCTATTGATGTACTTGAAATTGTGGACATTGTTATCTATTTCTAGAATATCTTTCAGAAGATTCTATAGAACTATTTTGATGGCCATTAATTTCTTCAGTTGTTCTTTGCCTTGGAATGATTTTATTTCTCATTAATTCAGAAAGTTAGTTCTACAAAGTATGTCATTCTGGATTGGAAGTTATTTCAGAAATTGGAATGCTTGCCCCCAAGCTTTCCTTAACTTAAGGATTTCTGTTGAAAAATCTGCTGTATTTCTTATGGGCTTTCCTGTATAGTTGATTGTTTATTTCTTTCTAATAGTTTTTAATACTTTTTTTTTTTTTTTTTGTCTTTTTCCTTTTAATCGGTACCGGGGACTGAATTCACGACTATCTGCTTGCAAGGCAGGTGTTTATGCCTCTGAGCTAAATCCGCAGCCCCAATACTCTCTTCTTATAGTGAATTTCTGGAATCTTGATTATTCTATGCCTTGGCATAGATTTGTTTTGGTCATGGCTAATTGCAGTTTTGAATTTCTCACTTGTCTATATTTCAAATTCTTTTTTCATGCTTGAGAAGTTTCTGCCATTGTTTCTGTGAACAGGTTTTTTTCTGTCATTTGTGCTGGCTCCTGCCCTTTCATTGACTCTGATCAATAATATGTTGTTATTCTTTGCATCAGCTTGCAGCTGGTAAATTGTTTTTTCATGATCCCTTGCTGTTTTTAAAAGATCTTTTTTCATGATCGCTAGATGTGATCCTATCTGCTAGGTCTGATATTGTGTCTTCACTTTCATTCATGAGATTTTGCACACTTTTAATGGAATTTTTACTTTCTGTTTTTCTATTTGATTCCATTTCTTTCCTGTGTCGGGCATTCATGGTTTCCATTATTTTCCTGTGCTCCTTTTTTATGTCTACTTTATATTTGCTAAGTAAGTCATTATTGTCATCATCTCTTGTTTTACTTGGGAGGTTATTTCTGATCTGATTTCCTCTACAGTTTCATGCACCTACTGTTTGAACTTATGCTACCATCATTTCAGAAATTCCAGATGGGTTGCTTCCATTTTCCTCCACTTTTTGTCCCCTCAACTTCTCCTGGGTATGCAAAGGTCTGGGATTGTATTTTGCTTCTGTATCTGGTTATTTTTTTACTTTATTTTGGTTTTTTGTGTTGATGCTTGTAAATTTCTTTTAGTAAATAGCTTTATCACTGATATCAAAGCTGCCTTAGAAATGTCTGTTTGCAGATTTTTTCCAGGTGTAAAAGGTTCTTGGTTTTTTATCTGTCTCAAGATCCTGTGTTCCCAATTTGTTAAGGATGAGATGGTGCTATACATTTGGCTCAGTACCCAGTCCTTTCCTACCAGAGTATGAAATGATTATTACCCCTAGACAATCACTGAGTTGTTATAGAAGGGAGAACAACTGATTACAATGGGTATGACATCCTGCAAAGTAGTACAATTAGCTACAATAACATCAAGCACAGCTTAGAAACTGACAAACTATGGTTACTATTAATTTGATCCCTTTAGCCATAGGGACATAATCTATCATTGAACTAAATCCAACATAGATCAGGAACTAAGAGTTTCCCCTTTGTAGAGTGGTTTTATTCTGATGGGGAAATATAAAAGGGGTAACGGACAAATCAGATCAATAAATGAGGAGAAATACAATATAAGCAAGCTTGGAAAACAAAAGTTGATCGTACAAACTTTGGGAAACTAGAGGAGAGGGCAGGAGAGAAAGAGTGAAGGAATAAGCAAGATATCATTGAAGTGAACCAGAAAGATTAGAAATAGTGTTTACTCAAGTGAAAATATCATAAAATCAAGAGAAATAGCTGAGGAAAGGGAGAAGGAAGATGAGTAGAACAGAACAAAAAGAAAGATAAAGCCCTAAATAAAATTTTAAAAATGCAAAACAAAACAAAGAAAAAAATAAATAAAATTCCTCCGATATCCACAGTTGTGGTAGTATCTGAGGCAGCGCAAAACTGCTGGGCAGTCCCCCAGGCCTGCAGCACGTGGGTGCTGGAAGTGAGGCAGATCTTGGGTTTCAGAGGTGGAGGACTGGGGCCCGAGCCTTCAGCCAGTAACCATCTGTCTGTCCCTCGGCAGCCTGTCCACTGCTTACCGCTTTGGTCTCTGGGTCTCTCTCCCAGTTGAGGCTGCTCCCAGTCCTGTGCATTGTGGGCTCCTCCTAGTCTTTGCACAGCCTCGGGTTTTCCTTGTCCACTCACACATCTCTCTCCTTTGCACAGTGTGTTACAGCACAGGGTAGGGTGGGGTGCTGTCAGCTGACTCTCTCCTGCCACTGTCACCCAAGGCTGCTCAATCCCACTGTGCTCACCCCTTCTGTGGGGCAGCGTCGACCTCCTCCTTGTTGCTGGATGCGGCACAAGGCTGCTTAAATCCCGCATCCGTCTCTCAAGGTGTTGCTCTTGCTGCATGGAGGCATCTTGAGGCGAGGAAGGGTCTTGCTCTTCACCACAGCTGCCCCGCAGCCACAGCTGCCTTGGCCAGCTCACTGTTTGTGCCACCCACTACTTGTTGCAGGGCGGGATGAGATAGAGTGTGGCTGGCTGGCTGCCTTGCCAGGGTCCCTGTGGCAGAGACAGCAGAAAAACAGTAACTCACAGATACACCCATATAAACAAATTACTGATAAAGAGGCAACGAGGTCAACCATAAAAGAAAAAGAAATAAGGGGAGGGGTTGTCCTGTCCTGTTGCTTGGGATTAGTGTCCCTGCCCAGTCTTTGTTGCCACTGTTTTTAGCCCACCATGTTTGGGGACCTCTTCCGTTCTCTGGCTCAGTGGCCAGACATTTACCCAAGGTTCTCAGCCAGCCTCAACCTTATAGGATGCTCCACCTTGTCCTCTCTCCATCCCTGGAAATCCCTTGTCTCAGCTCCCTGATACCCTGTGACTTTAGTGGCTCCAGGGAAAGGAATGAGCATGGCTATTTCTCTCTACCTCCTGTGCCTGTGTCCCAGCGGCCCTGATCTGTGGGTTTCTCTTTGGTAGTTATTTCCTCTATGCCAGTGCCAAAGAGGCAGAAATCCAAACCATCTCTGTCCATTCTATCTTTCACCTCTTATAGCCCTAACTCAATCCTCAGAATGGCTTGGTCTCTGGACTTGCCCTGGGAACAGAGCCCAACGATGGAGAAGCACTTTCCTGCTGTTATCACACACTCTGCATCATGTCCCAGAGGGAGAACGATGTGGTTGGGCTGGCTCTGCAGCAGTGGATGTGAGTTAAGTGCCCAGCTACAGCCTCTGCCCCCACCCCAGCTTCCTGTTACACAATGGCACTGTGCCTGCACCTGAACCTAGCTGGGAGCAGCACCCAGGTCAAGAGGGAGCTTCACTTCTTACCCTAACTTTTCATTTTTTTGGCATTTCAACTCGGCTAGCCTATTCAAGTTGTATTCTAGTGTTTTTTTGTCTCTACCATCTCTTATAGCTGCAGGCTGAATAAACGTGGTGAGTATCTCCAAGCTCTCTGTGAATGCTGCTTCCTCTACACCACCATGATATTCCTCAAAACAATTTTAAAAACCAGATGAGAATGTGGATGGTCTTTGGGAGATGTTCAGGTAGAAAATAGGATCACTCACTGTAAATAGAAAGAAAGAGATTCAGTCTGACCTAATTACAGGAGTTCCTACCTCAGGTGTTTTGATTAAAGATGTAAATTTGGAAGTTGTCAGCATTGAAGTGATATTTAAAATCAGTATATTTAATTAGATTGTCCATGGGTGGACATAGAGAAGCAAACCAAGAACTGAATCTTCAGTGGTCCCAAGAAAATCAAACCTAGATATGATGACTCATTTTGTACAGAGACTTGAAAGAAAAGGAAAATTCAAAACTAGTTCTAAAATGTATAGCGATTAGATTGATGGCAATACTGGCTGAAATAAATGCCAAAGAAAAATAATTTTTTAAAATCTGGGTGCTGTGTGTTGGTGCACATCTATAATCCTACCTATTCGGGGAGCTGAGGCAAGAGGAACACAAGCTGGGGCACGGCCTGGATAATGTAGCAAGACTGACTTCAGAATTCTGGGGCAAGGATATAGCTCAGTTGTAGAGTGCTTGATTTTGGAGGCCCTAGGTTCAATCTCAAATATGAAGGAAAAAAGGAATTAGGACCATGGTAGATGTGGTTATGAAAATTAAGTATGTTTCATGAAAAGGCAAGTCCAAGCACAGATGTCACAGAAATTTAGAGAGAGATGCCAACTTAAAAAAGTTAGCTAGCCGGAGATATAACTCAGAGGCACAAGTGCATGCCTGGCAAGCACAAGGACCTTGGTTTGATCCCTGGTACAAAAACAAAAACAAACAAAAAACTTAGAAAAAAAGTTGGCTAACTTTTTAAATGAGTTATGTTTACTAATAATGATGTGATCTGTAACATGAAATGTTTTTTTCTGAAGGCTCTGCTTGAGAAGAAGCAAAGAGAAGAAGATATAGAGAAAATGAAAGAAACATTGTCTCAGTTCATACAAGATTCTACCATAAGGACCAAGAAAGAAGTAAGGGTCTTTAATTATATTTACAATTCATATTTTAAGTTCCAACTAAAGACTAAATACTACCTTAACAGTTTTAATTTAAAATACATGTGTGCATATTCATAAGACTATTAAATCATTAATATGAATCATGTTATAGTATCCTGGTTAATAATTAACCAGAATGGGAGACTTTTGTATTTTATATTTCTAAGTGTGTAAAATTTCAAATAGGTTTTAAAATTTCTAAGTGTGTAAAATTTCAAATAGGTTGGTTAATAAACCAACAAGATATATATGTATATATTATATACTATGAAAAAATTTTTACATATTTCTGTTCTGGCTATAAAATATGACAGTGCTTTTTTAAGTATGAAAATGCTTGTATCTCAGTTCTCAAATAAATACAATTTTTGAAAAAATAAAACATGGTTTATTTTTGAGTTTGAATCATGACTAGCACCATTCTTGGCCTTTCCTGTTTCCGTTTCTTGTTAATGTACCTTATAGTTTGGTCAGTGAACATCCCCACTACTCTTAAAAGTTATATAGAAAGAATTGTTTACATAATTAAAATGACGTTAGAGTAAGAGAGGGATATTAGTCTCTGTATCAACTTAAAACCTCAACCACAGTAAAATACCTCACAGCCATATGTATTTATTCTATACAATAGGGATTTATATTTTTTCATCAGATACTAACCCTAGGAAACACGTGATATACTATCGGCTTCAAGAGTTCTCTTTTCAAAAAATATCAGTGCTTTAATTCAGCCGAACTTACTATCATTGTTGTAAAATGTTTCAAAATATACACTTTATATTTGTCATAAACCCTCAACTTTCCTCTCAGTTTTACACACAGAACACATTTTAAAAATTATGTGAAAGACCGGCATGACTACGTTTATAAAAATCAAAATTTTTATATTGAAAATGTTTGTCTTAATTTCTCTGTACTTCAGTGTTAGCTTTCCATTGCTATAAGAAATTCCTGAGATAATTAGTTTGTAATTAAAGGAAGTTTATTCTGGATCATGGTTTCAGTTTTCAGTGCATGATTTGGTGGCCCCGTTGCTTCTAGGCATACAGTGAAGCAGCAGAGTGTGGCAGAACCACTTAACTCTTGGATCAGAAGTGGAAGGGTGACGCAGAAGTACTCTTTAAGGGCAGGAAGCCAGTAATCTGAAGATCTTCCACTACACCCCACTTCATAAAGGTTCTACTATGTAATCACGCCCTGCTGGGAATCAAGCCTTTAACATGCAGGGCTATGGCGAGCATTCTGGATCTACAGTACAACACTCAGACTTGCCCATCTGTAGTGGAGATGAGAACTACTTCATGAGATCATTGTAAGACTGAGTGGCATACTCATAAGGCATTCTGAACAGTACCTAACACATCGGGAGAACATGGCGGACAAATAACAGCAGCCACGGAGGCTCTCTGAGATTACCAGCTTAGAATCCAGGAGCGGTGCCATTTGAGGAGTCCCACGCTAGGGGAGATGTACCTTGCTGACCCAGGAACAAAGTAAGCTGAGAGAAACCAACTGGAAATGCAATCCTGATGCTATAACAGGAACAGATAAAATCTCAGTGTGGAAGCTGGATCCCGCGCCATCGGAAGCCATGATTTGAATTTCCTGCTGCCGATACTGCGTCCCAATCCGCACGGCAGGGAGAGAGGCACGCCAAAGCTCTGAGAGCGGGAATCGGCCCAAACGCATTGAGAGCGGGACTGGCTCGATCTGCAGTGAGTGAAATGGGGACCCTTTCATACACTAGGAGGCTCTAACAGAGGACATTCTGGGAACAGGCAGACTAGCCGGAACACAGCCCTGCAGTAAGTTTAGTCGCATATTCCCCTCTCAAGCGGGAGCAGTGGGGAGCGCTTTGGCCTGGTGACTCCGCGGACTAAGATCCTGTAGGCTAGCCCAAATTGGGTCCCTGTGCCTGGCGGTGCACCCCTAGCAGTGAAACATTCAGTAGGTTGACCTGGAGGGGCGGGCCCAGCAGAGCCTGTCCAGGTCTGTGTCTCCCTAGTATACTGCAGTGAGTGGGAACACCTAGTCAGCGGATCCAAACAAACTAACAGACAAAGAGAAAAAAAAAAAAAAAACTAAGCCTCCTACATATGCTTGCATGGAAGGAACAAAAAATATGGGAAAACGGAGCAACAAGAAAGGCTCCTCAGTCCCCAATCCTAAGAACACTGATCCAGGAAAGGTAAAAGCAAAAGAGAATGAAGGCAGAAAACATGCAATATCAGACACGGCACCTATAGATATAAAACAGTATCTCCGGAGCCTCATAGACGAGTTCAAAAATGAAGTATTTAATGAAATAAAGCAAGAAATAAGTAGAATAGTTAGAGAAATGCTAAGCACTGCCCAAGAAAAAAACAGATGGTGGAATGGAGAAACAGAAAAAAAGGGGAGAATTGTTTGATGGAGAAAATAGAGAAAACATAGAATACGTAAAGCAGGTTCACAGAGATTACCAGGAAACTAAAAACTCTATTGAAAGCTGGCATAACAGCTTGAAAGAAACTAAGGATAGATTATCAGAACTGGAGGACAGATTTGTAAGGTTGGGAGCATGAAATGAAAAACTTCTTAAAAATAACAAGAAAACAAACAGCAATAATACAAAGACTAGAAGATGACAAGAGGATCTATAACTTAAGAATTAAGAACATAAAAGAAGAAGTAGGGACTCAAACAAATGAACTACAAAAGGTATTCACAGAAATAATCCAGGAGAATTTCCCTAATTTAGCAAAAGGTAAAGATACTCAGATGTATGAGGCATACAGGACCCCAGCCACCTACAACCCAAACAGAGCTACACCTAGGCATGTAATAATCAAAATTCCAGAAATCCAATATAAGAACAGAATATTAAAAGCCATCAGAGACAAGAAAAAGATCACTTACAAGGGAACACCCATCAGAATTACAGCAGACTTCTCAGCACAAACCATCAAATCACGAAGAGCATGGGGGGAAATAATTCAAGCTTTGAAAGATAATAACCTCCAGCCAAGATTGATATATCCTGCACAACTGTCCCTAGAAATTAATGGAGAAACAAGGTGCTTTGAGGATAAAGAGGAACTAGGGGAATTTGCAGCCACCAATTCAACTCTACAGAGATTACTGCAGGATACTCTAAAAATGAAAAATACCAAGATTCCAGAAAAGTGGCAGAGCGGCCACAATGAATGGAGCAGAAAACGAAATGAAGAAGACAAACTGACAACTAGTGACAGAAAAAAAGCTCAGCAGAAATGAGGCAGAGAAGGTTGGATTGTAGGAACAGCCATTTTAGAGAAAACAAGACATCATAATAGGTAGTGCTGATTTAATATCCTCTTGTTTTGAAGTCGCATCAAGCTTTTGTTCTTCTGTCTCCATTGGTTTTAACGTGTTGTATCTTATTGGATTTTATTATATGTGATAATATAAACAAAAACTTTTATAGACAAGGAGATTATACAAAAACCATTGTTTATTTTCTGTTAGTTGATTCTAAATACCCTGTAATACTGTCATTCTCTTGAACGATTTTACATTGTCTTAATATGTTTGATGCTACAGTATACGAAGTTATACCCAAAGATTTTAAGGGAAGAGACCCTATGGTAACTACTATTATGTCGAGATTATCTTGTAGTGAAACACTATTTTGCTTAAATGGCTATGTTTTGACATGCATTGTTTTGTTGTTATGCCCTCTTTTTTATCTCAATCTCCTTTTTATTATCTACTTTTTCATTTTTATCCTTTTAATTAAAGGAAAAATAAATAAAAAATAGCAGGATATATTATAGTAACCCACTTTGTTTTCCTATTAACTTGATTTGAAACTCTGTATTGCTCTCACCGTCTTGTTTTGACTGATTTTCCTCTATTCTGTTATGCTAGATAGTACCAAGTTTGAAAGTCTAGGCAACAACTATGAAGACAGTAAGATCCATTGTGACGCCCATTCTGGTTGACTATTGTCTTCTTTTGGAGTCCTCTAATGTCTCCAATGTTTTGGTTTTATTGGTCTTATTCTTTAATGTTTTGTTCAATTTTATTATAACTTATGATATAGGCAATTCTTTTTAAGATAACAAGAGGCATTATGGTAATCATTGTTGATCACCTTGTATTTTGCTTTTACATTATGTATTATGTCCATCCTTTTGATTTGACTGACTCTGTCCTGGTATGTCACATTTGGTTTTACTTTCTTCAAAAAAAAAGTAATAAGAACTGTGGGAGTAATAAAACCCAAAATGTGTAATTGTCATTGTACAAAAGAAAGGAAAAGAAAGTTCTCTAAAAGATATAACTGCATATATATTTAAGTGTATAAGATAGATAACCATATTACTGAGTTTTGTTGGATTATTGAACAAAACTGTTTGCAGTCTCACTGTTTGAAAGTCCCCTCTATATGCTTTAATTTTGTAACTTCAACAACTATTTCTAAGATGACAGTATGTAATTAACTAGTGATTTCCTACTGTTTATTTTTTTCTGAAATTCTGTATAACTTGTACCCTTTTTCTGTTTTTTTTTTCTTTTTTCTCCTTAAATAAAATTAAAAAAAAAAAAAACAGTACCTAACACATAAACACTCAATGTGTTCTTAACTGTATTATTACTGACCCACAGACAGAAGCAATTGTTCCCTAATATACTAATCTTTACTTTGTGGGAAACTTGAGCATCAAATTATATAACCTTAAATAGAGCTAAAATAGAATCATATACATTGTTTGGTAGGCCTTTGAAAAGATAACTCATATTAATTAACCAAGTAAAGTATAAAACAGTACTATAAATGTTCTAAAAATTTTATAGTATGTTTTAAAGTAATGTATTTTATAATTTTATGAGCTATAAAATTTCCAAGGACTTTTGGATCATATAAATTTACTGATGATATCAGTATTCATAATCCTTTTTCAAAGCATAAATAGCTATTAGGAAAAATTATTGTCATTGGAGTCATCCTAAGATAACTTATTCTTCAGCATACTCTGCACATAAATTATACTGGTTCTGAAGACAGATATATGTTAATTTAGATAAGGATGACCTAAAGTGCAATTTACTTAATCCTAGGATTGATGTGCATTATAACAATGCCTTTGCATTTGTAAAACAAAAGTGCCTTTAAAGGTATGAATTTACATTTTCAGCGTGGGAATCTGCTTTCCTCTCCCACTCCATGCCTTGCTCATGCCAGGCAGACACTGAGCTGCATCCTCAGTTCCTCCACTTTTCTCTTGCTTGGCTTTGTGGCAACAGTTTCAAAAGTATTGTTCAGGGATTCTGCAAGATCACACCTACTTTCATAATTATATAATGCTTTGCTTTTTTCACTCTCGTGAGTGTGCAGTGTCATTTTTCAGAAGTTGCATAATTGGTAAAACACAACAGGTTGAACACAGAAGCAGATACGAGAGTCTAGCTGTCTTATATTCAGCCAGACATTAAGGAGGTTTACAAAAATACAAAATAATACCAATCTTCTCAAAAGATTGGTTTAGTTGTGGAGAATACACTTAATTTTTATAAAATGTATTTTATACTAATAGGTGAATATTTTAATTATTAAAGAAATGAATTAAAATTTTAAACTTTAGGTTTTGATTCTAATGATAAAATATTGATTAAAAAACACATTATATTGGAAGTACTCTTTTTGCTCTCTAGTCTCACAACAAATTCTTGGTTACTGGATACCTTGTATGCTTATTTATCTTTTATACACTAAAAGTTACAACTTTATTTAACTATTATATAAAATTATTATAGGATTGTTATTCTAAATTTTTATCAAATGCTTTTTTAAATTATTCTAAATTTTTGTCAGATGTTAATCATTATTTGTCACTTAGATAATTTACAGTGTCTTCTTTTACAGGTTGAAGAGGCCAAAATGCAATGTCACATACAGATTTCTCAGTTAATGGAAGAACTTTCAGCTCTTCAAATGGTGTGTTAGAAACCTATGGTGAAAACTGTGATGTAGCTCAATGGTAGAGTGCTTGGCTAGCATGCACAAGGCCCTGGGTTCTATCACAAGCACCACACATACACACACCAAGAAAAGAAAGAAAGAAAGAGAAGACTATTTTCTTTTAAATATTGCTTATTTTAAAAGTCAAGATATATGTTACTGGGCATTTGTTTATTCAAAATACATTTCTCAAGTTATGACTTATACTAGATGCTAAGAAAAACATGAAAACACAGGTAAATATGGTTTTTTTTGCAGTCTAGTCTACCAGGAAAGATAGCATCCATGATAGTTAATGTAATTACTTATTGGGGGGGGGTACTAAGGATTGAACTCATAACTTCGTGCTTACCAGGCAAGCACTTGAGCCGCTGAGCTAAATCCCCAGCCCATAATTGCTTCTTTTTCACAGAGAACACATAGAATACCATTAAGACATCCAGTGGCAATTCCTTCCACACTTGGGTATAGATGAGCGAGTTGGGGTAGATAGACAGACACACACTATATGGGTTCACAGGGAGCAGAGTGAGAAGGAAAAAAGGAAAATTTCCTCAAAACAGTTTGTACTGAAACATAAGGAGGCAAAATAGGAGACAAAATGAGTACTTGTGTGAATAGAGATTGTATTAGAAAACAAATTTATCCTGAAGAAATGAAATTTAATAACTTAACAAGATAATAGAAGTATAGGAATTTCTAAGAAGTGAAAAGTTACTTACAACTTTAGGAACTCCTATTTTCTGAATCTTTGTATCACTTTTCATACCAATGACAAAACTCAGCAATGAAATATATCACTATATATGTGTGTGTGTGTGTGTGTATTTGTTGAGTGTACACCCACTCGTGTACTCCTGCTCTTTTCATGAATATCTTATCTCTTCAAATAGATTACAAAATAGAATAATCTTATCCCTTCTTTCAAGTTCCCCATTGCTTAACACAGTGTTTCACAGAGTACATTTTAAGACTTAGTCATTGTGTATTGGCCCTGAATATAATGGAACTGGGAACAGTGTTAGTTTTTATTTGTTTATTTAATGTTACTTGTCTTAATGATGTAGGAATTATGTGAAATTAACAGGATGGCAGTGTTGCTAATTATTCATGTTTAATTTTTATTGTTAGGCAGTTTTGCTTGTTTTCTGTCACCCTGTTATTTTATCTGTTCTCTTTCATGGGCTAGTTATCAGAAGACTCACATCTGTGAAAGAATAGAAATAATAGTGTCTATACCCCCATCCAAGATCATTTAATGGACTGTAATTCTGCAAAGACATGCACTTTTGTTCTCTTTTTTCCCAAAGGAAAAAGAACTGGCTACATCCGGCTAGGTCTTTTTAAAAAATAATTGTTAAGTGTGTAACAACCAGAGTGGTATTATACTCAACTTTTGTTAATTTGAAAGATTTAATTTTTAAAAGTGTATCTTACAATTTATAGTAAAACAATTTTATTTCATATTGTGATTTTTTCTAAGGATATGAAACGTTATCTGATGTCATATTGATTCTGTGAGGAAAACTGGACTGCCTAATTGAAAGTGTTAAATATGTTAGAAAACATATATGAAGGAAGACATTTTCATTTAATTTGAAAAGCAAATTTTCTCAGAAATTCTGATCTGTAGGCTCAAGCTTAATAATGGTATCCACTATTGTTTTCTGTCATTTAATAGCAACTGTGCAATCTTTACCATACAGATTAAGTCTAAGAGGAAGTTAAACATAACTTTGGCTAATGCAAAATTAAGCTATGCTTGGAGAAGGGGAAAAAATTTGTATTTTAGGTTAGTGCAGAATTTTTAACAGGTTAAGGAAAGGCTAGAGGCCCTTTCAGCTTTTTTGCCCCCTACCACTTCTTGGTATCTCTCTGTTCTCTTTCTTTTCCATCTTTTTCTCCAAATAAACCATAAAGAAAAAGCTAGAGGCCATTTACAAATTACATACCTCCTTTGGTGGACCACCATATACCTAACAGCCATTAATTTCTCCTCCTAGATATAGTTTGTCTCTTAAGATACTCAAGTTTTTAATTCTGTTGTATGACAGATTGCTATCAATCTATAACAAATATATATATTTGGGAAGAAGATTAATTATAAAATGCCCAAATATATAAAAGAAAAATGAAACATTTACCATGATCTTTTCCTAGATCCATGAATTTTCTTAAAGTCTCTTTTTCATTTCTAAGCACTATGCAGAGATTAGACTTTTTATTGTTGATTTCTGCTTCAATTACATAGGGAGGTCATAGTGTATAAACCATTGGCTCTTAGTATTTCTTGAGACCTTAAAAAAAATTCTATTATCACATTTTGTCATATTTCCCTCCAAAATTAGGTATGTCAGTGGTGATTAGCAAACACCTGTATATCTAGAAAGGTAAACAATAATTTTAATCTTTGCTTCATTGTTGCTCATTTTTAGTAGAAATAGTATGATGACAACTCTTTAGAGATTTCGGCTTTTCTTGTTTCACCGTTGCTACCCCGTATAAATCATTCTTTTACTCGACATCATTTGTCCGTATAATACAGTAGACTCAATGGAGAGGGCTGTGTGGCATAGTTATGACATGCCTTTATTTAATGCCATTTGTCAGACCCACAAGTGTGATCCAGCTGTGTTGTCAATATATACTGTATGTTGCAAGCCATATTAGGAGGACTTAGGAGAAACAAGAAGAGGAAGGAGGAATGTAATCAAAGACAAATACCTTCACATTTTGGAACAACAATGGTACTACTATCTGAGATTAAGAAATCTGGATGCTTGGGTTATTTTTACAAAGAAGACAGTTAAGTGTTAGAAATGTCAGATTCGCAGTGCCAGGAATATTTAGTGGAGATTCCTATTACAGATTTTGAAATGTCAAACTCATTGGAGAGTGAGAAATTCTTGACACTTTTAGTCTCCCATTAAAAACTGTACAAAGAGACATTAAAATACATAAAATGATTGGTATATTGATGGTACATTAACAATAAATAATATCAAGCAATAGAAACAAAAACATTTTTAGAATTTGTGTACTTTTGTACTTTGTAAGCCGTAGATTATCCCTCAGGATACTGTGCCATTATCCTGTTCTAAGTTGCTTTTTGAAAAACTTGATGAAAGCATATAAAAAGAAAAGCTATAACATGAGATGGTGGCTCTGTTTACTTTTTCTTCCTAACTGATCCAACCTGAGTGTCTTACCTGGTCTGCTTAATTAGAGCCCTTGGCACATTATCACTGGAAATAACTCCTGATACCTTGGAATAACTCTTTGAGATAGAGATTCACTTTGTTTGGTTTTGGTTTGTTGTTGGTGACTACTTTGTTAATAAAATAACTTCAGTGTTCCTGTAATTAATAAATAATTTGCCTTAAGATTTTACCATATATATTTACTTGTATTAATGGTTTAAATTTACAGGAATGTGGTGAAAAACAAAGCCAAATTGAACAAGGCATTAGGGAAAAAAAAGCTCTGGAAGAAGAACTAGAAAAGGTAAAAAGAGAAAGGAAATATAACTACCTAAAACTACAAATATTCAACATTACTATCTGCTTTCATCACACTATCTACTAGCGACCCTTATATTTCTAAGTATTATCCTGGTGAGTGTTTTTTTTTCCCTTGGAATATATTCAGAGTCTCCATTTAAATACTGCTTTTGCCTTCACACATTTCTTTCTAAATCTGGCCATATTCTTTAAACTTTGTACTTAAGGGTATAAATTTTATGAATTAGCTATGTTTCTTGCTTACACTTCATCCCAATAGTAAATTTCATTTTGTCTGTATTTTCTTTTTTTGAAGGCCATCTGTAAATACAAAAAGTATATGTAAACAGAAAATTATAACATTGCTATGATATTTACCTTTTTAAAGTACAATAATTAGGAAAAATATTTACCCCAGTGGTATTTGGAAAAACCTATATAGTACTATAAAATTTCTTTCTGTCCTACATATTTTTTAGCAATAAATATACCAATCTTTTAAATACTTTGGGAGAAGAAAGAAAGAAGAAAATTGGACACACACAGCATCTCTTTTAGATGCTGTATGAGAAACTTTCAAAGAGAGGTTAAGTAACTTGCCCAGTGTTTTAAAAAATAATAAATAATAGAATCAGAATTTGATTTTCAAAGGTGAGGTACATAACATAAAAATTATGTGACATATACATGTTATCAAAAATCATGCCATCATTGGTAGTAAAACAATAATTATAAAGCAGAACATGGTATGCAGTCCTACTTGTAGGGAAAAAAAATTGTATGTATTTAAAATAAGACCTTATAGTGTCACTCTCATGCAAGGTCAAACCTTCTGAGTGTCTGTGAAATAGGTTCAGTTTAGATTTCAAGCTGCTCTATCCATCTGGGTTTGGATTGAATTTTTAATATTACCCAGCACAGATTAAGGCTTTTCTGGGGAAATGCAAAACCTTTAGGCAAAAAAGCAATGGACAGAAAGAAGGCACAGCTCCTGTTTCTCAGTGTCCCACAGTCATGCATGCCAAGACAGTGCTGCTGTATCCCAGTGGTGGAATGGTGAAGTTCTGATGCCCTGCCTTTCTGTAGAACAGGAGTGACAGCATGGTTCTGACAATGGGGAAGTCACAGGTTTCTTGGCCAGCAGTGTTTCAGCCCTTGTTCTGTGAGAGGAAATACAACCTCAAGGGAAGTTAACCTGGGATACAGCTATGGCTAGGGAAGGGGAGTCTCCATTTTTAGCTAGATTATATCTAGGTGACCCAAAGTGAGATTCTAGAGTCGTTTTCCAATGATACTACACTTTGTACCACAGCATGAGGTTTTCTTAATATTAGATAACTGTCTTGAAGATATGCATCAAAAAACCCAGTAGTTATGTTTAAATTGACATACAGATTATATTTTCACCCTCAGCTGCTTTATACTTCTATATTATTTGAATAATTTACAATGGATATGAATAGTTTTTTCCAAATAAAGTTTTTTCTATATATCTCAATTATTGTATAAGTTTATATTTTAATTTTTGGCTTTTTATTTTGTAAATGTGAAATAACCAAAGGTAATCATTGATGTGTTGTAATATGTTACAGTGGGAACCGATGGACACATGATCATGGTTTTGTTATTTCTCCTCATTGGTTTTAGTTTCTGAACTGCATACTTTGTTCAAATAGTTTCCTTCTCTATGGTAATATACATATAAGCTTCTTCTGCAGACTTACCGTGAAGGCAGAGGAAACGAAAGTGATTACAGAAAACTGGAAGAGATGCACCAAAGATGTCTGGTTGCTGAGCGTTCTAAAGATGATCTTGAGCTAAAACTTAAAAGCGCAGAAAATAGAATAAAACAACTTGAAATTAGGTAAGCTTTCTTTTGGTTTTGTGTATGTATGTATGTACCAAATACATGTACATACATTCATAGAGTACCGTGGTACCTTATATATGTATATATATCCCGTGTATCTCATAAGGAAGGAGGATTGAATAAAACTGCTGTTCCACATTGTTTCAGTTCACATGGTCTCTCTGCAGTATGAGTTTTTCCGTGTACTATAATAAAAAGAAAAGTCAGTAAAGTTTTCTTTGTGTTCCTTATATTTATGCAAAAATTTTCTCAAGGCTAACTTTTCACATTCCTGTTTTCTTTATTCATAATGTTTCTTTCTCCTGTGAGTTTGCATGTTTCTTAAGTATCCAAAGAAAACTGAAGGTTTTCCCACATTCCTTGTATTCATAAGGATTCTTTATAGTTGTATGTTCATACCTTTCCTCAGGGATAGAAAGGAAATGAATATTTTTCCACATTTCCTACATTTATAAGATATTTCTCTGCTGTAAGTTCATTCATGAATTTTAAGATGTAAGGAAAGAATAATGGATTTCTAACATTCTTCACATTAATGTAGCTTTTCTTCCTTATGAGCTTTTACTTATTTCCAAGGGAAAAGTAATAATCTAAGGTCATACTACTTCCTTACATTAATAATATTTCACTTCAGTTTGGATTGATTCCCATGACTTTCCTAAAAGAGGAGTAATAATTGAAGTCTGTTTTATAGTCCTTAGTTCATATGTGAATTTGTATGTAAATATTAAGTTTTTAGTGGCGATTATAGCTTTTCTGTGTTCTTTGTGTGCCTATATGGGGCTTCCATCTGCAGTGAGTTTATTCATGTTTATTAAGGTACAGTAACATATAAAGTCTTTTCTGCATTCTTGACTTTCATAAGGCTTTTCTCTGGTGTACACATTAGATAATGCAAATTTTCTAAAGACTTTCCTACATGCATTACCTTGTGATGTTTCTTGTCTGTGTGAGAGCTTACACTAAGCATTGAGGACTTTCCCATTTTTCTTACTTCCACAGCGTTGTTGTCAGTGTGGATTCTTCTGTTAGGTACGGTTGTGAGGATGATCTAAAGCCTTCCCCACAAACCTCACATGTATAAGACTTCTTTCCCAGCTTGTACTTTATAAGTGAAAAGCTTTCCCATGTTCCTTTCATGCAGGAAGCTTCTATTTAAGTGTTCAGTAAAGGGTAAAGATTAGCCCCTCAGTATATTTACAGGCTCTTCTCAGGGAGTTCTCTTGCTTTTATAAGGAAATAGGAATTACTGAATATTTTCACACATTCTCTATAAGTAATGTACTTCTTTCCAGTACAAGTTCTCACAGGTCACTAGCGTGTGCGAAAGCCTTGGAGGCTTTTCCGTATTCTCTACACACAGTTTCTCTTCAGTGCAAGTTTTCATTCACATGCACTTTGAGGTATACTTCAAAATGTTTTGCTACAGTCAAGTTGGTTCAAATGATTTCTCTTGAGTGTCTGCGAGCTCTCCTGTCCACTTCTGACTTTAGGAATGCTAGGTGTCATGTTTCTTAAGTTTTCTTATTCATCCTTTCTCTGTTTTTTTTCTTTGTCTTCAAATAATTTGTTGAAAAGCAGTTAACAGCCAAGAATATAGTTTAGCAGCAAAGCACTTGCAATTGTGAGGTCCTGAGTTCAATTCCTGGTACCAAAAATAAATAAATAAATAAGAAAGAAAGAAAGAAAGAAAGAAAGAAAGAAAGAAAGAAAGAGAGAGAGAGAGAGAGAGAGAAAGAAAGAAAGAAAGAGAGAGAGAGAGAAAGAAAGAAAGAAAGAAAGAAAGAAAAAGAAAGAAAAGAAAGAAAAGAAAGGTCATTCATTTTGTACTGTAGAATTTCCTTTATTACATATATATATGTGTGTGTGATGTGATGTGATTTACTTTATTTCTCTGTCCCATATAATGTCTAAAAAATGTAATTAGACTAAGAGCCTTGATCTGATCTTCCTTTCATTTTTTTGTGTAAGAATATTTCACAGATAATAATATTGTAGACTTCTGTTAGCAGGCCCATAATGTGTAGTTATTTCTGGTTTTAGCATCTGTGATGTTAACATCCTTATTAGCGTTGCCTGGCTACATCATTCATTAGACACTTCATCACCTAAGATTTAGATAGGAAAAAAGAGGTACAAATTTTATGAGAATAAAATGTTTAATGTAGGAATCAAAACTTACAATGTAGAAGGAGCTGGAGAACAACAATCTGGAGTGGCTGAGGTCACAGTCAGATAAAATCACTGTCACCACCTAATGTGTTGGTAGATATGAGCAAGCTGCACCCTCACAGCAGACTTTAAAAGTGTGGTTCACCCAAAAAGGCCCGATATGAAAAACGGGGCAAGACAATGTCTTTTTTTTTTTTTTGTCTTTTTCGTTTTTATCGGTACCAGGGATCGAATTCACGACTGCCTGCTTGCAAGGCAGGCACTTATGCTGCTAAGCTAAATCCCCAGCCCAAGACAATGTCTTTTTAAAAGAAACGCTTTTATTTTAGCTGGCCCAGCGACACAGTGCAGATGGAATTTGCAAAGCTATGCAACTGAGTCAGAATTTTGACAGATTTTTATAGCACATTAACCAAGTGACATGACAGAGCAGGAATTAGAAAGGCCTTTGTTTCTCTTTGCTTGAGGTCAGAGACACTTCGCAGTTGGTGGTTAGCCCTTTTTTTTTTTTAAGTTACAGCCCTTGGTCTTCTAGTTCCAGGAACATTTGTTTCTCATAAAGTGAACAAAGACCGACACAGCATCATTTGTCTCTCACAAAGGGAACAATGGTTGACACAGCAAATGGGTTACTAAGGTGATGGCGCATATAGAACAGTATGGCAACGCCTAAGTTAATTTATAACAAATTTATAACAATGTGGTCGATGCTCCAGGTACATGGTTACTAGGGCGATAAGCATAGAGCATAACAGTTCATGGTGGTAGAAATGCAACCATATGAAAGTTGTTTGTACAATGTGTGATCAAAATATATGATGAATGTTCCACTTTTAAAGAAAATAATTAGACATACTGTCATTAATCCCACTCAGAATAATGCCCTTACTTTGAGTATGCTTATCTCATCATTCTTACTATTTTCTGAAGCAGTTCATAAAATCCTCTTTCCTGAGAGTCTGTATGAGGTATGATTGAAAATATGGTGCCATCCAGTGGAAAGGAGGGCTTCCAAAAACATTATGGTGTACCCTCATCCACCTTGTTCACTAGGAGACTTGTGGATCTTCCCCAAAGTAAAAAAAAAAAAAAGATAAACATTTTGAATCGATTCAGAACATGATGGAAGTCAAAACAGCACAACTGAAAATATTCACTAAAAAAATTGCTTTTATGGAGTTGCTTCAGAAAGTGGCAGAAACAATGGAATAAATTTGTTCAAAACAACCAGGAGCAGGGTATTTTGAGGAGCGTTATTAGCAATGTACATTTTACTCTAAGCATTTTTAATTTAAACTTCACCACCATGCCTAATACAGAACTAGAATTTATGAAGACTATTTCTGAAACCTGAAAATAAAAATTTATCATTATAATCTAGTACTGTAGTCAGCTCTTGAGTTTTCCTGTGGAGCTGATTGATGGAGGAGTTTTGATTACCTCTCTGCTTCATTTTTACTATTGCCTTCAGTTTATTCCCTTGAAAAGCCCTTCTACAGTGTAAATAAAAATTTGAAAGCCATTTCATATTGATTTTCTAGATGAATGAGCTCAATTTATCTATTCTTAGTTAAGATTGTTAAATTAAGTGTATTTTTGTGATATTACATAAAGTTTTGAAACCACTAAGTCTAAAGTGAAAAGAAATGACTCAGAATTAAGAAAACAAAAGCCTATGCCATAAAATGCAGACAGGTATCTTGGTTTCTAGTTCAGATCATTAAAACTCCTTTTTTACTTTCTGTGTTTTTTTTTTAATCAGTTCCTCAGAAGAGATATCACGTTCCCATGAAATGATTCAGAAACTTCAAAATGTGTTGGAGTCAGAAAGAGAAAACTGCAGCTTTGTCAGTGAACAAAGGCTTAAACTTCAGCAAGAAAATGAGCAGTTACACAAGGAAACCGACCATTTAAGAAAGATTGCTCTGGAGGCTCAAAAAAAGGCAAAATTAAAGGTATTTTTAAGACTTGTTAGAGTTAGATGTGGTTTTGAGAAAAAGTAGAGAGTGGAGAAAAAAGTATAGAGACCTGGTAAAACATTTTCAGACCTTTTTTTCCCCTTCTCATCAGATAGCACTAAATCATAATTCAGTGTTAACCAGTCATTTCTGTATTGTAAAACTTGGCAAGCACACTTGAAAATGATTGCCTTCACTATCTGCACACACACACAAAGAATTCTTTTCCAACCATGAAATACACTGATATTCCTGGCAAAGTAATTTAAGCAACACTAGCAAACCACAGATTAGATAACTTTACAGACTGCCTTGCTCTCTTCTCCCTTTATTACAGCCTCTCAAAAATTGAACTTCTCTAAAACTAACTGTAAGAGTGTGATATGTCAGTGTGATTTGAGAACCACTCATAAATAGTCTAAAGCCTTCATGCAAGGAAGAAGGCAGGGAACAAAAGTCTCATCTAAAAATAAAACTTCCCTGACTTTTGTCTCCCTCTCATTCTGTGCTTACATGCTTCAGTAACGGGAACATGATAATCTGGTTAAGAGAGTTTCAGAAAACTCAGCATGTCATTTACTTTTTTCCATTCCACGAGACTTCTATAAAACATGGAAATAATTCTTTATGATAAAACCTTCCAAGGATACAAGGTGGTAGCATTAGTGTTTTCCTTTTATTCCTGCTGCAGTGACTCAAGTTACATTCCCACCTGATTCACACCAACATATATTTAATGAATGCCTCCTATAGCATGTGTCAGACACTTAGGTATTTCTAAAAGCATGAACTCTGAAATGAAAAAGAGACACTAACCCATCATGCAAAGAAGTTTGTACATTATGCTTTTAGCTGTGTGAAGTCATTAAAGGATAAGGAAAAGACTCATACTAAATATAAAGCCACAGTAATTAAGTCGTTGTGTTTTCAACGTCTTATAATAGGTTGATCGATAGCATTAAATTGAGTCCAGAATGAACTCATTTTTAATAATCATACTATCTAAAATGAAAGCACAACTGTAGTACAGTAAGCTATTTTCACAATAAATGATACTAGATTTATTAGGCCCATTTAAAAACTAAACCTTGACTCCTTAATTGTATGTGCAAATTAATTTGAACTATGGTGTAGACCTAAAATGTGAAAGATGAAACCCTGGAATTTCTAGGAAAATCTTTTATGTTCTTGTGTAGAAAAAAATTTCTTGCAGAACACAAAAAGCCCTAATGATAATGAAAAGATAAATGAATTGGATTTCATTAAAATCAAGGTTTTTTTAGTCATCAAGATAATGCTTTTCATTATTTTCAAGATAATGAAAAGCTGGAGAAAGTATTTAAAATACATAAAACCAAAAAAAGAAACCCTCACCTCTGCAATATAAAAACTTCTACCAATTAGTAAAAAAAAAAATTAATAAGAGGAAAATAGCCAACAATAAGCAAAAGCATATGATCCATTTCCAAAAATGAGCCAAAAGATATAGGTATTTCATAAAAGAGAATATATTCAAATATATTCAAATTCATAATTATGGACATGAATGCAAATTCAAACTGCAAAGAGGTAACACTACACATCTACCAGAATGGCTAAAATGTTAAAAACTGACAATATCAAGTATTAATAAGTATGTAAGTTAATGGAACTTTAATACAGTACTGGTGGAAATGTGAATGGAACAGCCATCATTTAGCAGTGTCTTTTAAGGGTAGACATACTTCCTATATTAAATAATCCTGTCTATACACACAACCACTATGAGTTATATGAATGTTCATAAAAACTAATCAAATCAAAACACTGAACTCTAATGTCATCACCATGAGGTTGTGTAATGAAGTCGTAAGATATTCATGCAGTAGACTAGATGCAGCAATGACAAATAATGTTTATAAGCAATATGTTATAAGCAAATACGTTTGTAAGCACTAGTGAATGGATTTTACAGATATACTGTTAGGGAAGCTAGAAATCAAAAAGCCTGTGTTCTATTATTTCAGCATCTAAGAGTGAAGAACAGGTCCAGGTACCTGTAAGGACATTTTGAGAATAGTGGTGACCTTTTAAATGAGCAGACACTGATCAACGGAGTATGAGGGAGCCTTCTGGGAGATCCGAATCTGGGTGACTTTGTCAGTGTGGGTAAAAACTTTATCTTGCCTTAAAACTGACATACTACGTGGGAAGTCAAACAAATCTCAGAAGAGGGGAATAGACAGCACCGTAGGTAAAACAAAGGTGGCTGTGAGTTTGATAGTGGTGATTATGGAAGTTGGGTAATGGGAAAACAAGAATTCATTATATTTTGTGTATGCCCAAAGCTTCCCATACTAAAGCATTTCTAAAATTTAAAGACAAACAAGTAAGTATATACTAGGGCAGAAATATTATACCTTCATCTCACAAAATGTTTAACAGGTATAGATTAACAATTTAAAACTTAATGATACTGTAATATACTGATAAGAAATGTAGGTGAACCCTGAATTAACAACTGTTAACAAAATAAAAATGGAAGAAATGACAAGTGGGAATATTGACAGATTATCATATAAAATATTTAAAACTATTTTTATAGCTTTTAAAGGGAAGGAAGGGATATGATTTTAATAAATAGAACAAATGCTTAAGACTCACTAAGGTTTGCTTCTTAACCACAGAACACAAAAAAATCATTCCATTGACTGTTTTCTCGGTTGTTCTGATGCTTGTACGCAGGTATTCCATTTTAGGAGCAGATGAGGAAAGTAACTAATTACATAATGAGATGCCTTAAAGAATTAGAATGTAAATCTCTCCCTGAACCCCAACTGAGAAAGCTTCTAGGCTGTACTTTCATTCTTAATAAGGTCTTATTAGTGCAGTACTGTAAATTCCCAGAAACATAGTGAAGAAATTCCTGTGTGATTTTTTTCCTGAAAAAAATACATTGTTTAGTAATATTACAACTGAAATGATAATGAAATTCCTGTGTGTGTGTGTGTGTGTGTTTTACTGTACAAAGCCCTTTGAAAAATAATCTGAAAGTATAAAAATCAAAAATGACTTACTAAGAACTAAGAGTGTGGACTTTTTTTTTGGTGGATTCTGACAGCAAATGTAAAATTAAATTAAAAAATAGCTTTAAATTGTATTTTTTTAACTACCAGCATTTAATTTTAGGGAAGGGTTGCAAAAAAATATGGTCTGTCATAAGTTTACATCAAATCATTTTTATTATAATACAGGATGTATTTATTTGTGATAAAGACTATTACAAAAGTTAATTTCTTACATAAATTTCTAAAGTTCAGACAACACAATAAATCACTTGTGTATTACATTGATCACTATAGCTCTTAGAATACTAGGGAAAACTTAGTGTGTGAATTTTCTTCTTTAGATCAGTACAATGGAGCATGAATTTTCAATAAAGGAACATGGGTTTGAAGTTCAGTTAAGAGAGATGGAAGACAGTAATCGAAATTCCACTATTGAACTGAGGCATCTCTTAGCAACTCAACAGAAGGCAGCCAATAGATGGAAAGAAGAAACAAAGAAACTCACAGAAAGTGCAGAAATCAGAATCAGCAATCTAAAGTAAGTCTACTATTAATCATTGACATGTTGTAGAGAATAAGTTATTTAAACCTGTAGTTTATGTTCTTGCCATAATATTTTTGTAAAAATGTGTAAATCTGTACCTTGTACTTAAACTTTTTTCTTTTTTGTTCAGCAAATATTTGTTGGACTACTGTAAAAATATGTTAAACATTGTAAATTACAGTAAGTGTATATTTTTGTAAATTTCATGTATATTCCACTAAATTCTGTGATTTTTGTTGCACATGACAGTTTATGATCTTTCTATGTATAGATATAACCTATATAGTATTCTGTAGGTGCAGGATCCATTTAACATGCAAAACCTAACATGTTTGCTATCTTGACCCTTTAAGAAAAAAGTTTTCCACCCCTTCCGTAGAACAAGCTTAAGATTTTGTGCTGAACGAAATGGGAAGCTCTAAAACTTCAAATGGGCATGAGGTCAGAAGGCGCTGAACAAAATGATGTCTTAAATAATCAACAGATGACTTTGAGTGCTGTATGATGAATAGACTTAACCTAAAATTGCTCAAAAAATAAAATACATTTTAAAACTACATAGGTTGTAAAGATTCAAAGACACGGTAAAGATCCAAGTATAAAATCATGGTGGTTAGGACTGGGTTTTAAAAGTTTGCTTTGGGCCATGTTAAAGGTGAACAGCCTAGCGAGTATGTCAGGCTTGCACTGGCCATTCGTATGTGTAAGTTTAACAGATCACAACAGGAGCTGTGAAGGTGGCAAGCATCGACATACACAGGATTTTTAAAGGCATGGAATGAGAATATATTAAATCCATAGAGAAGTGAAGCTGTCTGAGGATCAAGTGGCAGAATTTAAACTTTAGGATTCTCTCAAGAGACTAACAGAGTATTCAGAGAAATAAGAATCAAAGTAAAATGCTTGTTAAAAAATTCTTTCTGAAAGTACTTTTTCAAAAAGGAAATAAGCAGTGATAAGTGCTGTTTACTGAACATGTACCGTGTATATTGTCATAAGCAATGGGTATCACTTAATTTTCACAATACCCCTACTAAGTGTGTAACGTCAATTGTGCTTTATAGATAGGGAAACAGGCCAAGAGAGCTTACGGAACTTTCTCAAATTCAGTTGTGAAGAAACAGCATGTCCTTAACCATTACGTTTTGTAAAAATCTGCTAATAGATACATGTGAGATCTGAGAATGAACCTTTCACCTTGGCACGGTGACAAGAGGAACTTCGGGTTCACATGCTGAATGGTGAATTGAAATTTATTTAAAATGAAAAAGATTTCTGCTTGCAATTAATTGGAGTAGCTCATAGCCATGAATATGAGTTAAATGTTTAGATTTTTTTTAATTTACTGAAAGCGTTAAAAGAAGTAGAAAAAGGATCATTCTCAGTTGAGCTCTATCTGAGGAGTGCAAAGTTGGTATAAGAAAATCAGCTGACATTATTTACCATATTGTCATTAAAAGAGAAAAATCATAAGTTTTTTTAATTTATTACTTTATTTGTTAATATTAAGAAGAAAAGGTAAAACAAATTTTCACAACAAAATAATGAAAAAGTGGCAATTGTTAATAAATTATACAACATTATCTTTAGTCACTCAAGTACAAAATATGGGCATAAAAATTACTTCAATCAATATTAGCACAACCTTTCCTATTGAGTGAACTAAGTGACACTAATGGTATAACCAACTTGCACTTTTTTTCTTTTCCCTTCTATCCTTTCTCTTTTCCTCTTAGTTTCTTCTTTTTATTAAACAGTTTCCTCCCATTTCACAGTGACTATGGTATATTTTGAACCTATGGTTTCACATATGTCACTGTGGTGTGATGTTTTTCAGTCATTCTGGGAAGATACACAGAAGGGGAATACCTGGGTTGAATGGGACCTCTAATCCTAATTTTTGGAGGAATCTCCACACTGATTTCCACAGTGTTTATACTAATCTACTCTCTAACCAACAGTTGTAAAGGGTTTCTTTTTCCCTACAGAACCAGGAGCATTTTTTATTGGTTGATATATTTTTTTTAAATTAAATGGTTTTTTAATGAATAAGGGAGAGGATGAGATAAAAGGGGGCATAACAACATAACAATACAGGTTAAAGCATGACACTTTCAGCAACCTAGTGCTTCACCACCAAATAAACCGACTTAATAGTAGTTACCATAGAGTCTTTTTCTTTGAATATTTGAATATAACTTCATATGCTATAGCATCAAATATATCAAGACTGTGTAACACCATAAGATTTTAATAGATACAAGAAAAGGCATTTGATAAAATTTAATAACCACTCAGATTTTTTTCTTAAATCTTGGCAAACTAGTAATTGAATCTTTTTTAAGTTTGTAAAGTTGTCTATTCTACAGCAAACATGATTCTTAGTGACAAAATACATTAATAAGATGAAGAAAATGACAAAATACAATGTTACCTCTTCTGTTCTTCTTTGTCCTGGATGTTCCAGTCAGTATTTGTATGACAAGAAAAAAGAATCAAAGATTGATAAATAAGTCAATCATCCTTAACAGACTACGTGGTTATATATGCAAAAAGTCCAAAATAATTGATAGACAAATTATTAGATGAATATTCAAAAATCAGTGATCTGCATACTAGCATCAAATATTTCAAAAATAAAACTTTTCCATAGCTTCATTTACCTGTGGTCAAACATGGTCCAAAAATATTAAGTGAAAAATTCCAGGAACAGTTTATTTATGTTTCAATATATACATATTATATATAACATGTATTATATTATATATAACATATATATAAATATAATAAATATCTCTTATTCTATAAGAGATACATTATTTAATATATCTTATTTTATTTTGTTATTATCATTAATCTCTTTTGTGCCTAATTTGTAGATTAGAGATTTTCTGAAGAGCTGGTTTAGGACTCATATCATTTGAGCCGGTCTTTTTTCATGGAAATACCTTATTTTTCCATCTATTTTGAAGGATAGGTTTGCTGGATAAATTAGTCTGGGTTGGAAATTAATTATTTTAACGGTTAGAAGTACTTCTTTCCAAGCTTTCCTGGCATTTAGGGTTTGTGTTGAAAAGTCTGCTGTGATTCTAATTGGTTTACCTTTGCACATGATTTTTTGTTGTTCTCTAACTGCTTGTTAAATTCTGGGGTTTTGTTGCTGTTTTGGAGTTTTTTTTGCTGGCTATCTGACTATCTGATAATTTAATAAGGGTGTGCTTTCTTGAGCTTCTTCTGTCATCATAATTGTTTGGTGTTCTATAAGTGTTGTTTATTTGTATTTTAATCTCTTTCCTTATATTTGGAAGATTTTTTTCTATGACTTCTGTACACCTGTTAATAAATTCATCTGTGCTGTCTTCTAGTTTTTCTCTAACTCTAGTTAACTTTAGATTGATCTTGTTATTGTCGTGTAGTAGTTGCTGGTTAATCCCGTCTTGATCCATTGTTTTCTTTTTAGCTTCTTCAAACTCTTCATCATAATTCACTATTTTGTCCTCAGTATCAACACTCTGTCTTCGTATTACTTCATTTCTGCAATTTATAAATTCTACAGTTTTTCACTTCAGATATTTGTGTGATTTTTTTTTTCAAGTATTCCACATCCTTGTTGAATCTGTCAAATTTTGAACTGTGTTGATCAGCCCATCTTGTTCTTTAGTACTTGTTTCCCAAAAAGTCACTATGGGCATACTGGGTAAAATGCTGTGAACCTTTGGTTCGTTTTCTCTTTGAATCTATCTATGTTCTTCATCCTGCCTGTGAACTTTTCACGGAGTTCTGCTCCCTGGCATTCTTTTCCTGTCCTTTTGTGGGCCCTTCCTCTGACTTGGGAGAGCTGAGTGCACTCAGGGATCTTCTCTTGCCTTGCTTTCCGATTCTCAGATGTCTCTCTTTTTTCCCCTCCATGGGGTGGGGGTGGGTGTACTGCAGGTTGAGGACTAGAAAACTGAGGAGAGTTTGTGTTTTATACGGAAATTTTTAGCAGAGTATTGCCTCCTGTGAAAAATTTTCAGCTTTGTATGTCCAGTGCAAGTATTTACTCTTATTATTTACTTTAAGTGATTTGGACTCTGTCCCTGTTTTACTGAAAGAATTACTTCTGGCTATAACAGCATCAACAGATTCAGTCACACACTTCTGTATGATAATCCTTGCGGTTACATTTCACCCCTTTGTCTATCCTCAATGCACACTACTACAGTGATTTATTTTGTAAACAAAACCTCAATTGCACAAGACATAGCAGCAAGGATCAGCAAATAAGATTATAAGCAAATAAATAAGGTTATAAAAAGCTTGTGTGGAACAAAAGAATCAGTAAACAGACAACTTACAGAATAGTAAAAAAAAGTTTTCCCAGGTACTTCTCAGACAGAGGACTCATATCTAGAATACACTAAGAACTCAGAAGAATTAAACTGACTAAAGTTAAAGACCCCATTCAAGAAATGGGCAAGATAAATATAAATGTCAACAAGTATATACAAAAATTTTCAACATTTCTAGCCATTAGAGAAAAGCATATTAAAACCACACTAAGATTCCATGTTACTTGGAAAGAATGACTCCATTAAGAAGTCAAACAATAGGGGCTGGGTATTTAGCTCAGCGGCATAAGCACCTGCCTTGCAAGCAGGCAGTTGTGAGTTTGATCCCCGGTACTGATGAAGAGGAAAAAGAAAAAAGAAAAAAAGAAGTCAAACAATAATGTATGCTCACATGGCTGTAGTATAAAAGGAATCCTTTCCATTGTTGGTGGGAATGCAGACCAGTATGACCATTTTGGAAATGGAGTAGAGATTTCTCAAAGAATTGCAATTAGAAATTCCATTTGATTCAGCCGTCATCCCCCCCTGTTAAGTATCTTCCTCAAAGAGCTTAAATCATCATACTACAGCAAAATGTATACCAATGTTTATAACAGCACAATTTGTAACAGCTAAATTCTGGAAGCAGCCTATATACCAATCAGCAGATGGTTAGATAAAAAA